ATATATACACATGTAGAACATATACATGTATATATGATATACAGTATATATATACATTATATATATACATGTATTATATCAATGTAATATATATACATGTATAATATACATGTTATATAATACAGTAATAAAATACATGTGTATTTATACATGTATGAATAATACAGTATATATATGTGTATATATACATGTATATATATAATGTAATATATACATGTAATATATATACATGTATCAGATAAGTATATCAAGAGAAATTTTTCAACATTGTTCAAATAATAATGATATTATAACATATATATTAATATATATATATAATTAATATAGCCATTTATATATATATTCATAAATACTTATACATAATGTACATATAGATAACATAATACATAACACATGTATACACACACACAACACACACATAATATATATATATATATATATAGTATATATATTATATTATATTTATATATATATATACATATATATGCTATATGCATTTTTGTGAGAACTCAATTGGCCACGAAAGAAGCAGCGAAACGCCAAGTGGTCGGCGCGAGAAGCAGCAGGAGGTTCAGACTCACATTGAGGTGGTACTTCTCAGGCACGCCCTGTGGGGGAACGTGCTGGTATCCTGGCCACACGATGTCGTTGATCGTCACGCCCTGAGGGTCCCAGGAGTTCCATGTGCCAATCTGCGGAGGGAGAGAGAGAGGGGTTAGTGCGAGGGAACATGAGGAAGAGCTGTGGGAGGGAAGGGGGAGAGGGAGAGAGAAAGGGAGAGAGGGTTAGTACGAGGGAAATGAGGAAGAGCTGTGGAGGGAAGGGAGAGGAGAGGGAGAGGGAGGGTAGCGTAAGGGGGAAGGAAGGGGAGAGAATGGGGGAATGAGAAATGGGGAGATTGAGAGATAGAGGGAGAGAAAGAGTGAGAAAGGGGAGAGAAAGAGAGAGAGAGAGAGAGAGAGAGAGAGAGAGAGAGAATGAGAGAGAGGAGAGAGAGGAGAGAGAGAGAGAGAGAGAGAGAGAGAGAGAGAGAGAAGAGAAGGAGGAGACAGAGAAGACAGAGATAGAAGAAGAGAAGAGAGAGCGTCAAAACAGAGAAAAAATAAGCAAAAATAGACACAGCGAGAGGCAAAGAAAGGAAGCAAAACAACTGACAATAAATCCCAAAATGGAGAAAGGGATAACAGAAGAAAACAGCAAACATTTATCAAAGCAACTGACTCCCTCCTCAAAATAATGTTGCCACGTCTGCCGGTTAAAAAAAAAAAAAAAAAAAAAAAAAAAAAAAAAAAAAAGTTTATTCTCCTCGCTTCCAGTACAATGATCAAGACGCAGATACACGCCGCAAGGAGCATAATTTATTGAAGCAAATATTTGAAACAGTGAAACATGTGCGATTTTGTTTTCGAACCAGGAAGGAAAGAATCGGTTTACAATGTTATCTCTTTGTTTTTGTTTGTTTGTGTGTGTGTGTGTGTTAATTCTGTGACGTGAGGTATTCTTATTTTATACAGTGCAAGAGACGAAATTCGTTGGAGTGAACATTTGAAACGGTGACACGCTTCGAATCACTAAGAAGTAAGGAATCGGACTACATGCCTTTTATTTGTTTATTTATATATTTTACCAAGTTCATATGCAATGATAACTCTACGAAATGAAATATACTAAATATACTAACGTGTTTTCTATGTTAACTTCTCTAAAATCAAACATAAAATAACAGAATGGGAGCTTCGTGCTCTCGTAAAACATTCTCCCGTAAAATTGTCTCAGAAGCTCCGAGCCGAAGGTCGTCTGGCGGGAAGAATTATAATGGAACACGAGTTGAAGAGGAAGAAAAATGGCGGTTCTTTGGGCAAGGATTGAGACTGTCTCGCGCTCGTATTTGCTCAAATCTCGTACGCTTATTGCTCTTCGCGAATGATGAACTGGATGTGAAAAATGTGTATGCGGAGATGTGTGCCTGAAAGACGTAACTTGAAATTGTGTTTACTTGTGTTTTGTGCACACACACACAGACTCACTCACTCACTCACTCATTCATCATCTCTTTCTCTCTCTCACTCTCACTCACTCCTCATTACTCTCATCACTCACTCACTCACTCACCCACTCACTCACTCACTCTCT